ATATAAAAAAAAAGTGTCAGGGTTGGAGCATTGTCACAGAGGGCAGTGTTGTCTGACTGGGCAGCATTGTCAAAGTAGACAGTGTTGTCAGTGTAGACAATGTTGTCAGTGTAGACAATGTTGTCAGTGTACACAATGTTGACAGTGTAGACAGAGTTGTCATGGTGTACAGGGCTGTCAGTTCGGACAGTGTTGTCATTGTAGGCAATTCTTTCTGTGTTGTGAGGGTGGACAGTTTTGTCAGTGTTGACTGTGGAAAATAATTTCCCAAATTATACTATATATTTTTCATAATGTAAATATACATGATTAATGCATTACTGTTGCTCTAAAGTGTATTTTAAAGAAGAGAACCTCTGTGCCTGCGCTGAGGCGCAGAGGAGACGAACATAGGGAGAGGGGAGTGTTTTGAATGGAGTTAAGAGGCAGGGAAAGCATTGGACCAGGAAATTGGTGTTCACAGTGGCCTAAGGATTAATATAAGCCTCACTTCATAACAGGAAGTGTTGTAACTGTTCCTGGTGAAGAGTGAGCGAACGTAATCACGGGACCGCTGTAATAAGTGGCAAAATGAGTGAATAATGGTGCGACACCATGGGGTGTTCAGCGGAAAATACCTGTGATATAATCATCACTCATGGGTCTCAAATTTTAATGTGTCGACCTCTAACGTGTGTAAAATTTACGAGGTGTTAAACCGTCTTGTGAACTGTAATGTAATTGGCGATAATAACACTAAGTTAAGAGAATGTGTGAAGGGAAATAAGTCGCTGTTCTCCAAGTGAACACGTGTTCACCTCGTGGTTCCTGTCCCGAGGATAGTAAAATTTTTATGGAGTCACGACTTCTAAACTGGGACAAACCAACGGATACCTCGTGTTGCTGAAATAAGAACCGTATCAGTGCAGCAGGACATCGAAATGAGATGGTGAATGGAGGAAATAAGGAGCATCAATCACCCAGAGTTAAGTAACCTTTCTAGTTATAGCAAACTGATACTGGCCAGTTAGGTATGTTGTAATTGGATAGGTTGTGGGTGATCCAGCTACATCAAGTGACCACCAGAGAATATCTGCTAAGTGGTGGTATTATATACAAGTGTTTTTTCCTTGATGGATATATACATGTGTAACCTACTCCCCCCTCCATTCAGTTAAACTAATATAATCTATACAGTCCACAATTAATTAGTAGTGCTGTATTTGTGGGTGCTATCCACTTCATACTGGTCTTGGATAGATATGGGTAAGATTGTGAGGTCGAAGGAGCCACCTGCAGTGACCAGGGGTGGCTAAGTTTTCTCACATGTCTACACGGGGTGACTACGGTAAACAATATTGTTGTTGTCTCCCAATGAGATTACTTGAATGCATGTAATGTTGAAGAACATACAGGTAACCCCTATAAAATTTTCCATATCTGCCCGCTGGTTCATCCTGAACCGGATGCAATCAGTGAAAAATTAATTGAATTAATTACTTAATAATTAAGTGACAGATTGAAGGAAGTGGGTATAGGGTACACAAATTTAATCGATCGTGTGGTGGATGATAATTAGCCCTATTAATTGCTAGCACATGTGTGGCTAGGATTTATACAAGAGTAAAGTGCAAGAATTACTCTTGTAAGGAGCCTACTTAAGTTGTATAATCAGTGATTAATAATTCCCTAACCATGGCTGGGTCTGATGGAGTTAATGTGGCTGAGCAAGTTCATGGATTTTAAAGTAATGAAAGCATCATTTCAGGCTATTAAAGGCCATGTGACGAAGGCATACAAATGTCTGGATTTATTGAATCAAGAAACCGTGAACCCTAATGAATTAAAGTTATATTTAGATGCTTTAGAGAGTAAATGTGAGTGGTACAAATTGTGGTTTAAAGATTGTGAAAGAGATATGCTGGAGAATTGTGCAGATGGAAAGGAAAGGAATGCTTTAACGAATTGGAAGGAAAACTGTCCTGTAAAAGTAAGGCTTTGAATAAATTAAAGGGTGTAAACCAGGCAGTTGATCAACATATTAATCCAAAAGATGTTTTTGCCAAAACCTCCGGAGTACGGTCTGGAGGAAATCAGACTAGGTCGGCAAGATTTAATTGTTCAATTGCAGACCAGTCAGCCATACAGTCGTAAGGATATAACTCATAATGACTCTGAAGTCTCTGTCAAGTCTCAAAAGGGAAAAAATAATCCCAGTGGTAATAATCATAATTAAGGGTTACATAGCCACATATCAAGTGACAGGAATCAGTAATAGTGGTTCCTCACATCAAGGTAAGAGGAGTAAGTACCTCAGTAAGGGTAACCCAGTTAATAAGAGGTCAGGCAAGGAAAAGAGAAACTGTCTCTAATGCCTATAATTCATGGGATATTAAAGTGGAAAGAATGAAAGAACTTGACAGATTTATCAGATGTCTAGACAATCATAATGTAAAGGATTGTCATACCAAATTGAACAGTTGCTATCAATGCAACAAGGGAAGGCACCATACAGTTATGTGCAGGGTTGTATGTAATTCTTATAATAATGGTGACAATAATGATAATGTTAATAACCCTGACACTACAGTGACTGATGTAAAGGTTGCAGCTAATGGCAATAATGATGGCCTAGCTGAGGTAGTCTTGCCGGTGTTGCATGTAATAATTCAGGATAAAGGGCATAAATTCAAAAACTATGCGGCGTCACTCTCCTCAACACTGGTAAGGGCCATGTAATATATGGCAGACTACCGCGTAGTAATAATGACTAGAGGAAGTTGTAAATAGTGATAGTGTTTCTTACTCATGAAAGATCAACCCAGTACAAGTATTCTTCTATCGAGGATGATGTTGAACCAGTCTAATTTGTGGGAGCTGGACAGCATAGGGATTAATATAAATGGGGAAAGTCCAAATGATTCCTTTACTCAGGAACAATACCTGAAGGATGTTAAATTGGAATCTGGACATTACTGGGTGCGACTTCCGTGGAAGCTGAAACCTACTAATTATAGGATGGCATACGGACAGTTAAAGGGTCCAGCTCTGCGAACTTAGCAAGACACCAGAATTGTTGACTGCTTATAATGATATAATTAATCAACAGTTAAATAATAAATTGTTCCTACTTCAGGCAATGATAAATGTACACCTTAAGTGCACAGGTGGTCCACTAAGTGAAGTAATTGGGTAAATAATCTTATGTGGACAATTTCCGGGGTGTGACATCATCTGAAGAGGAACTAATGAGGATATGTGAAGGGGTTAATGAAATAATGCAAGGTGCAAGGACGCCCGAGGGAATGGAACAGTAATTAGTCCATTTTGAGGGATCAATAAATGAAGATAGCCCTGGAGTTGAAGTGCCTATATGCAGTAATGTGCTGAGGCTGACTTGGGATACTGAGAGGGACTTGTTATTGTTAAAGTCCAATAATTCCAGTATGCTCAATAAATTAACTCAGAGAGTATAGGCTAAGTGTCACACCTTACAATAAGAGGGAAATTGTTAATACCAGAAGCATGGAAGCTTGAGTGTGCTTTGGATGGAGACCAACCTGAGGAGTTAACAGGTGAAAAGAATTAATGAGTGATTTTGTAAATACTAATGTTGGAGTTCCCAAGCCATGTGGCCAGTGAAGATGGGAAAATTGTACTCCACATTATTTAAGTCGTCTAGCAACGACCTCCACCTGGCCGCAGTGTGGAAAATAATTTCCCAAAATTATACTGTATATTTTTTATAATGTAAATATACATGATTAATGCATTATTGTTGCTCTAAAGTGTATTTTAAAGAAGAGAACCTCTGTGCCTGCGCTGAGGCGCAGAGGAGACGAGCATAGGGAGGCAGGATTGTTTTGAATGGAGTTAAGAGGTTGGGAAAACATGGGACCAGGAAATTGGCATTCAAGGCAGCCTAAGGATTAATATAGACCTCACTTCATAATAGGAAGTGTCGTAACTGTTCCTGGTGAAGAGTGAGGGAACGTGATTTACGGGACCGCTGTAATAAGTGGCAAAAATGAGTGAATAATGGCATGACACCATGGGGAGTTCAGGGGAAAATACCCGTGATTTAATCACTCATCGGTCTCAAATTTTAATGTGTCGACCTCTAACGTGTTTAAAATTTACAAGGCGTTAAATCGTCTTGTGAATTGTAATGTAATCGGTGATAACACTAGGTTAAGAGAATGTGTGAAGGGAAATAAGTCGCTGTTCTCCAAGTGAACACGTGTTCACCTCGTGGTTCCTGTACCGCGGATAGTAAAGTTTTCAGTGAGTCACGACTTCTAAACCGGGACAAACCAACGGATACCTCGTCCTGCTGGAATAAAAACCATATCAGTATAGCAGGACATCGAAATGAGATGTTGGATGGAGGAAATAAGGAGCATCAATTACCCACAGTTAAGTAACCTTTCTAGTTATAACAAACTGATACTGGCCAGTTAGGTATGTTGTAATTGGATAGGTTGTGGGTGATCCAGCTACATCAAGTGACCACCAGAGAATATCTGGTAAGTGGTGGTATTATATACAAGTGTTTTTTCCTTGGTGGATATATATAAGTGTAACTTAACCCCCCCCCTTCATTCAGTTAAACTAATATAATCTATACTGTCCACAATTAATTAGTAGCGCCGTACTTGTGGGTGCTATTCAATTCATACTGGTCTCGGATAGATATGGGTAAGATTGTGAGGTCGAAGGAGCCACCTGCAGTGACCAGGGGTGGCTAAGTGTTCTCACATGTCTACACGGGGTGACTACGGTAAACAATATGGTTGTTGTCTCCCAATGAGATTACTTGTATGAATGTAATGTTTAGGTACATAGAGGTAACCCCTATAAAAATTTTCCATATTGACAGTGTTTTCATTTTGCACAGTGTCAGGATGTACAGTGTTGTCATTGTACACAGTACACAACTAGCACCATCACACACAGTAAGACACAGTACACAGAGAGCACTATCACACAAAGTAAGACACAGTACACAGTGTAACACCTACCGAGCCACTCAAGTTGATGTAGTGTGGAGGTGACAGTGTGGTGTAGTTGAGGCAGGAGAGAGGCAGCATGGTGGTCAGTCATCACAGCAAGGAAGAGCCACCACAGCTGGTGACACTCTTGTAGAAGCCTGAAGCCTTCACAAGTAAGAGAACCAGTGAACTCCTCCAGGTGACTCCTGTACCAGGATAAAACACTGATGAACACCTCATTCTTACTGACTCACCACCTACACTGTATATTACACCAAGTGGTAGTGAACATGTTAACTGTATATTCCCAAGTGGTAGTGAAACATGTTACACTGTATATTACACCAAGTGGTAGTGAACATGTTACACTGTATATTACACCAAGTGGTAGTGAACAATGTTACACTGTATATTACACCAAGTGGTAGTGAACATGTTACACTGTATATTACACCAAGTGGTAGTGAACAATGTTACACTGTATATTACACCAAGTGGTAGTGAACAATGTTACACTGTATATTACACCAAGTGGTAGTGAACAATGTTACACTGTATATTACACCAAGTGGTAGTGAACATGTTACACTGTATATTACACCAAGTGGTAGTGAACATGTTACACTGTATATTACACCAAGTGGTAGTGAACATGTTACACTGTATATTACACCAAGTGGTAGTGAACAATGTTACACTGTACTCACCTAATTGTACTCACCTAATTGTGGTTGCAGGGGTCGAGACTCAGCTCCTGGCCCCCATCTTCACTGATCGCCACTGGATCCTCTCTCTCTCTGCTTCCTGAGCTTTGTCATGCCTCTTCTTAAAACTATGTATGGTTCCTGCCTCCACTTGCTATTCCACTTGCTGACAACTCTATGATTGAAGAAATACTTCCTAACGTCCCTGTGACTCGTCTGAGTCTTCAGCTTCCAGTTGTGACCCCTTGTCCCTGTGTCCCCTCTCTGGAACATCCTATCTCTGTCCACCTTGTCTATATCCCCCGCAGTATCTTGTATGTAGTTATCATGTCTCCCCTGACCCTTCTGTCCTCCAGTGTCGTCAGTCCGATTTCCCTTAACCTTTCCTCGTACGACATTCCCTTGAGCTCTGGGACTAGCCTTGTTGCAAACCTTTGTACTTTCTCTAACTTCTTGACGTGCTTGACCAGGTGTGGGTTCCAGACTGGTGCTGCATACTCCAGTATGGGCATAACATACACAGTGTACAGTGTCTTGAACGATTCCTTACTAAGGTATCGGAACGCTATTCTCAGGTTTGCCAGGCTCCCGTATGCTGCAGCGGTTATTTGGTTGTGTGCCTCCGGTGATGTGCTCGGTGTTATGGTCACCCAAGGTCTTTCTCCCTGAGTGAGGTCTGTAGTCTTTGTCCACCTAGCCTATACTCTGTCTGCGATCTTCTTTGCCCCCCCCAATCTTCTTTTGATTTTGATTTGGGGGATTAAATTTCAAAGAAGCCGTTGGGGGCCACATGTCCGCCGGTCCAGGTTCTTTGCGTCCTGCCTCTTTCCTCGCCGTTTTTAATTCTTTTTCAAAAACTTCCGTCATCTGGAACGGGGGGCATTCAGGTTTTATTCTTCCATATGTCGTTAAATATATCAAAAAAAAGCACGGGGTCCTAAAAAACTAAACCCTGGGGGGCCCCCGCTCGAAACGGGCCCCCACTTGATACCTCTTCACGTCCCATGGACTCGTTGCTGCCCCCCTTGTCGGGTTTTCCCTTTTTCCCTTTGGGCAGTGCCCCCCTTTTTTGTGCCCCTGACCCTTTCCAGCTTCTGCACTAATCTTTTGTGGGAAACCCGGGGGAAAAGGGCCCTTTCCTGAAAGTTGGGAAAACGCAATTCTCCCCCCCTCTTTCCCCGTGTCTTACTTCTGAAAATTGGTCATAAAACTCCGGGGGTTTGTGTACAAGTTTTGGGGCCCCTTTAAAAACCTGCTGGTTTTCATTTACAATCTTGATTTTCCGGGTTCGCCCACTCCTCCGGGTTTAATTTTCCCCATGATTTTGCACAAAAATTCATGTCAGAAAACACGGGGCTGAAAGTTTATTTCCCCTCGTTTTGTTTCCTTTTTAAATAGGGGGTACTTTTGCTGTCTTCCTTTTTCCCCGGTATTTTGCCCCTTTAAAGGGGATGTTTTGAAGATTGGGGGGTTAGAGGTAGCCCAGAACTCCCCCCTTTTCCCTCAAAGGGGCCCCCAATGGGGAGATGTTGCCCGGGGCCCCTTCGCCTTTGGGGTGTAAAGGTCATTTAAGAGCTTCTTCACCTCCTCCTCGTTGTTCGTATGTCACCCAACATTTGGGTTGGTTATTCCCCCCTTGATTTTCCTTCGTGCTGTTTCCCTAAGCCCTTCCTGTCTTACTGTAAAAACTTCCTAAATTCTCCTGTTCAGCTCCTCACATACCCCCTGTTTCATTTCTTGTGAGTTCTCCACCTTCTGCCTTAATTGAAAAACCTGGTTTTTGGGCCTGTTGTCTTCCCCCTGATGTGGCTATCAAACATTTTGGGTCGTCTTGATTCTCAAATGCATGTCATTTTCATCTGTCGTGGGCCCCCCTCCTTCCCTGTGCTTTATTTTTTCCCGGCTTTTGCAAATTGATCTCTATTTTGTGGGTTCTCTGCCTTCTGAAACTTTTTCCATTCTTATTGCCCTTTGTTTTTCCCCTCCTTACACCGTGGGGTTTAAACAAGGGGCTCTTTTCTGGTTTTTCCCTTGTTACTTTTCCCCTTGGGAAAAAAAAAAAAAAAACCTTTCCATGCCCCCTTTTTATTTTGTTGTTAAATTTTCCCACCCTTTCATTTACTGGCTTTCCTGAGGGGCCCTCTGCCCCTCTGGACCCCCTGAAAGGGAAGTTCTTCCCCCCTAGTGGGTTCCCTTTTTATGTCAGGCTTTTCCAAATTCAACCCTGTTATTCTCTCCATTGCAGCTTTTTATTGTATTCAAAGCAAGAACCCGTGGTCGCTAGTCCTAGGGGCCTCTAAAACTTGTTTGCCCTAAATACCCTGAGCTCCCCAGGGGGGAAAAAAGGGCCAATTTTGGGCTGGTTACCCCTCCCCTTCACTCTGTTAGGGGCCCTTTAACATTTTGGGTTTGGCATGAGGTTTTCCAGCACCACGTCCAACATCCGGCTCCCCATTTTTGGGGGACCCCCATTTTAGCTCCAGGTTTTCCATAAATCCCTTTGGGTTTGGAAACCCCCCAAAACCAGCCCCTTTGCTCTGTGGGTGAGCTTTCTTCCCAAACCTCAGCAAGTGTGTCCCCATTGCTTGTTGCTCTTTTCCCATATTCCTCTTTTTGGCCCTCCTGCAGTTCTGGGGTGGATTAAAATTCATTGCAATGACCACTTTGTTTTCCCCGGGACTAAAAGTGTCCCTGCTATTAGTCCTTTCTCCCGTCTCTTTCTATTCCAAACCATTTTTTTCGAATTTCCATCTGTTTCTTACAGCAGAGAAACCCCCACCCCCCCCCTCCCCCTTTATTTTTCCCTCATGATCTGGTTTTCCTGGGGGGAAAGTTGAAATCTGTTTTTGTCCCCGGGTTTTTTTGGTTTCTGAAAACTGCTATGATGTCGGGGGGACTTCTCATTGCCCTCTTTTTGCCATCTCATGTTTATTCGTTAATCCATCTGCATTTGGTACCCAAAACCCTTTAACTTCTGTTTTTAATACTGTAACTGTGGGGGGGGGGTGGAAACAGAGGGGTCGGTGTGTGATGGTTGGTTTGGATTGTTTAGTTGCCTTGGGGGGGTCGTGGGTGGAGGTTTCCCTTTGGCAGGTGTTTCTGGGGGATGCGTTTGTCCCTTCCCTTTGATCCTGGGAAATTTGCTCTCCTTTTTCATTTCTCCATTTTTTCTTTCGTTTTTTTAAATCTCCCCTTTAAATTTTCTTCCCTTTTGTCCTGTTTCTGCTCGATCGAGGTACACAATCCGGAACTCCTGGGGTTTCCCCTCAGCCGTGCTTTCCCGCAGGATCATGGTTCGGGTTGGGTTTTTCCTTGAAAATTACTTTGAGAGCCCATTCCTTTTTTTTGTGAAAACCCCCCAATTTTTCCCCAAAAAAATTTTCCACCGGGTCATTTCCCCTCGCCTATCACCTTCTGATATCTTCAATCGCTTTTTTCTCCTCTGCTTTTTTTTATTTAAGTTTCCCCTTTTTTTTTCGTTTGCCCATAGGAAAAACCACGGATCTTTCCCCTTTTCCCCCCCCATGTGACTCCCCTTTTCATTTGATGTGTTTAGTTCCTTCCCCTGGAGTGTTCCTTTTCATCCCTTTTCCCCCGTTATGGCCCCTATTTTTCTTGGTTTTTCCTTCCCGTCACCTGCTCCCGGCCCCCAAAAGGTACTGGGAAAAGGGCCTTGCACTTTTCCTAGTTCCCTTTAATGTCTTCCAACCTCTCATTCTGTCCCGGGGTGTCCCGTCTTTGTTTTTGGCCCCTATGGGGTTGAACCCGGACATCCCGCATACAGTTTAGTTTCCATTTTTCCTTCAGACCTGGTTTTCTGTGTTTGATGTAGCCTTGCCCATGTACTTCTGTAAAATCTTTGTCTTTTTGTGCTGTTTCAGATGTCTCAGTCCTCTTCTAATCTCTCTATTTTTGGTTTCGCTGCTGTGGCCCGTTGCTTCCATTTTTGCATTCTGCTGTAAAACCCCTCTTCCCTCTTTTCCCTTTTAAATCATTTAGTCTCCCTTCCCCCGTCTTCCTCCCTTTTTTTTTTAGCTTCCTCCCTTCCTCCCTCCCCGATTGTCCTTGGAGCCCTTGTCCATTTCCCGGTTTGGGGGAGGGGAAAAGATGGTTTGGAGGGGGATGGGGTGGTTGTGGGGGAGGGGGGGGGGGAGGGATGGTTTTTTGGGGGGGGTTTGAGATATTGGGGGGGGGTTAGTGGTTTGGGGGAGGGGGGGAAAAAATGGTTAAGGGGGAGGGGGAGGATGGTTATTGGAGGAGGGAAAGGTTTGTTGGGGGGTTAGACGGTTTTTTGGGGAAAGGGGGTTTGGTGGTTTGGGGGGGGGGTAGGTGGCTAAGGGGGGGTGGTTAGGGGAAAGGGGGGGAGGTGGTTGGGGGAGAGGTGGTTAGGGGAGGGGGGGGTAAGTGGGTTTTTTTGGGCCAAAAATTTATTGTGTCAAGTGGTGGAGGGTGTTTTGGGGGGGGGTGTTTAGGGGTGTGTATGTGGTGTGTGGGGTGCGTGT